CAGTCCAGGTTGGCCTTGAACTCGAGACAGTCTTTGGCTTCATCCTCCTGAGTTCCAGAATGGCAGGTTGAGAGCCACCATGCCAACCCACGGCTGTTTTCATGTCCGAGCTTTGCAACTCGTCATTGAAAGCCCATACTTTTAGTGTTGAGCATATTGGACTTAAAAGCTCCCTTTAGTATCGCTAATAGAATACTAAATACGGGCTGGGACTCTTTCTGTAGTGGACCATTTTGTTTCCTGACTAGGATTTACAAGCATCCTGTAAATTTCCGCTCTTTTCTGCAATTTTAAACAATGCAACCAATCCAAGTCTGAAAGGTTAAGTAGACTTTTCTCAGGTTCCCCTTTCTGTGTATCTCCAAGTTAAAATGCACAAAGGCTTCCCGAAGCCTGGGTTAGGAGCAAAGTCTTGAAAACGTTAACTGAGAATAGATGCTCTGCCTGTTTTTCGTCTTGCAGGAATCTAGCTCAGGCGTCTTCTTGCCTTCATCATTAGCGGGCAGTTAAGAACTGAATGGTTGTGCTTTGTACGTGGCAGAGCAGAAGGGAGGACACACAGCCCGGGGAAGACAGCAGCCTAGTAAGGCCCAACATTTCTTGGACCAATAAAGCAAATAGGGGGAGGAGCGCCGAGGGAGTGTTCGAAGTTCATTCTGTCACCCAGTGGGTGCTGCTACACCCTGCAGTGCAGGTAGGTGTTGGGGGAAGGAGGAAGCTCCTCCTTGAGTACAAACCCAGACAAACCAAGGCTTTTGGAGAGTTCTTGTTACCCTCGGCCACAAAGAGGCGTCACCGGGCTGTTCTTGTTGGTGCACACATTTGATCTCAGTAGCCAGGGCCGCACAGCAAGATCTGTCAAAATAATTATGGTGATCAGACCTCACAAAGAACACATCTTAATCTTATTCCACTTACATACAGTTCTAGAAAAATCCACCTTGTAGAGCACTCTGGCCTCAGCTCACAGAGGTCTGCCTGCTTCTGCCTCCCCAGTGCTGGGATTGAAGGTGTGCACTATGACATCCAGCCTATAGTTTTGTTTTATTTTCTTGGTCTTTTGAGACAGGGTTTCTCTGCGTAGCTCTGGCTGTCCTGGGACTTGTTCTGTAGCCCAGGCTGGCCTCACAGAGAGTGCTGGGATTAACGGTGTTCGCCATCACTGCCTGGCCCACCCTATAGTATTTTTAATTTATGTGCATGTATGTGTCTCTGTGTGTGTGTACACACGTGTGTGGAGGCTCACAGAGGGCAGAAGAGGGTGTTGGATCTTCTGGAATTGGAGTTACAGGTGGTTGTGGGCTGCCCAAAGTGAGTGCTCAGAATGAAACATAGGTGTTTTGAAAGGGCAGCAAGTGTTCTTAACTACTGAGGCATCTCTCCAGCCTTATTTATTTATTTATTTATTTATTTATTTATTTATTTATTTATTTATTGACAGGGTCTCTTTAGGTAGCCCTGACTGTTCTGAAACTCATTATGTAGATCATACAGGCCTTGAACTCACAGAGATCCATTTGCCTCTACCTCCCCAGTGCTGAGATTAAAGGTATTTACCACTATGCCCTCTATTTTTATTATTTTTTATTTTTAAATTTGACTGTTTACTTGGGTGAATAATCAAATGTGAATGCAGGAGGATCAGGAGTTCAAGGCTAGCCTTGGGCTGTATTGGTAAGTTTAAGGCTAGCCTGAAATACTTGAGGCCTGTCTCAAAAATAAATAAAAACCAATCACACATGTATGTACGTATGTATGTATGTACATGTCTGTCTATCTATGACACTGGAGATTGAGTCCAGAATGTTACACGTTCATAGCAAGCTCTCCATCACTTGGCCACACCCCCAATCCCTCTTTTCTTTGCTTTTAATTCATGATCTCACTGAGTTGCCCAGGCTGTCCTCAAGTTTGGGATCCTCCCGGTTTCCGCCTCCTGACCGCTGGGAATGGTGGTGTGGGCTGCAGTGCTGGACACCGAGGACTTCTGGACGGTGTTCATCAGCTGCTTTGTGATAGTGAACAGTTACAGCAAAACTCTTTAAATATTTGGTGCCGAGCTGGGTCGTGGTGGCTCCAGCCTTTGCCTTTAATCCCAGCACTCGGAAGGCAGAGGCAGGAGGATCTCTGTGAGTTCCAGACCAGCCTGGTCTACAGAGCGAGATCTAGGACAGGCACCAAAGCTTCACAGAGAAACCTTGTTTTAGAAAAAAAAAATTTTTTATTTTTGCCAAAATACTAGAATGAGTATTAAAAAAAATATGTGGGGAAAGGAGGTTGACAGGAAGCATGCTACAGAGGTGGAGGTCTTGCTCAAGGACACCGGGTGGTCCGATTTGCATTCATTTGAAGAAGTTCCATTTTTGCTCGTTTTGTTTAGAGAGACAGGGTCTCTCTGCATAGCCTTCACTGTCCTAGAATTCACTATGTAGACCACGCTGGCCTCGAACTCACTGAGGTTCATGTCTCTCCTTCCCAGTGCTGGGATTAGAGCCTGCGTCACCATTCGGCCTTTGCTGCATTTCTGACAGCTAGGCTGCTGCTCTAACCTCCTGGCCCTCTAGAGTCTAGGGGGTGAACTCTCAAAGAAAGCTCACCCATGAACCCCTCCCCCACACTTTCAGACGACCCAGTGTCCTGGCACCTACAACACAGCCATACCCTGACTCTGCCTCAGTTTGCTGGACTCTTTCATTCATTCTAAATGTTTTCAATTTTCTCTCTCCTTTCAGGTACAGTGAAAATAAGATTTATTTCACAGTCTTTCCTATCTATTTCTGCAGAGAAATGTCTGTCCCCTCTTGAAGTTTCTCTGGTATTTATAATCTAAACTGCCCTTTCGACACCTATTTACTGCCTTGGATTCTTTCCTTCTCATGTGTGTCTTCTCAATAGGCTCTGAGTTTCCTCAGGGTAGGAATTAGGTCACATTTATCTTTGTGTCTCCCAGGGCACTTAATAAAACACCTCACTTTCATAGTCTTTCTTAGCCATTATCTCATTTGATCTTTACATCAATGCTAAGAGATTGGAGTAACTAGAAATATGTTATCCCCCCTTTGACAGGAAGGAGAGCTGTAGCCCAAGGTCTCATGGCTGGAAAGGGACAAAGAGGGAAGAGATAATGGTCTATGGAGGTCTGTTCAATGCAAGGCTTCCCCGACTATCTCCTCCATCCTTCTGGAAGGCAGGCTTCTGTACCTTCACCTCTCAGGGCCTCATGTGCTTCAGAATCCCTTAGCCAAAGCCTTGAAGTTCAGTATTTAAGAACTTGAAGACTTGGGAGATGAAATTTTAGTAGATGCTTTCTATTTTGTCCTGAGCACTGTTTGCGTGTAGGCCTGGCATTTAATGAGGCTGCGCTGCGGAACTGAGGGAGCATAAACAATTTTTAAAAGCCTTGGAAAATGACAGGGCACTCTAGCATTAAACACGAAACATGGCAGCTGATGCTCTGACCAAGGGCATAAAATCTTTCTGCACTGGATCGTTCCTCTGTGTATACTAGTGGACGTCTCTACTTCTTCCTTTTTTTTTTTTATAGTGTGTGTGTGGGGGACACACGGGATCTCCCGATGCAACCCTGGCTGGAACTCTCTATGTAGACCAGTGTCTGTCCTCAAACTAAGAGATCCACCTGCCTCTGCCTCCCGAGGGCTGAGGTTAAAGGCCTGCGCCCTAGTTTGTTCTGAAGAGGTGAACAGCTCCATCTCCTAGCACGCTTCGCTCCACCCTGTTTGTTCTCTTATGTAAGAGAAACAGCTCAGCCATTGCTCTTCTAGAAACCGGGGTTTGATTCTCAACACCTACATGGTGGCCACTGTAACCAGTTCCAGGGGATCCGAGAGCACCAAGCATGCAGGTGGTCCCAGGTGGTCCACACAGACATGCAGGCAAAAACACCCCCCCCACACATAAATAACAGTAAAACAAACAAAGCTTGGAAAAGAGAGCTAATAACTTTGAAGCAGTTTATTTCATATAAATCTTTCACACTGGGGGTGACAACTTCAATATGGTGCCCAGGCCTGGCCTTGAACTCAAGATCTTCCTGACGCAGCCGACAGAGTAGGTGGGATGAAGGACGAGTAATACCACCACGTCCAGCTAAACATCTTATTTCTTAAAATAACTCACTCCCTGATTGGGTTCCCTTAGTTTTGCGAAACCAGTGTAGGCAGGAGTAGGGCTTGAATGAAGAATGAGAAATAAAGGCGAGGGCAGGGCCATTAACTTGGCTGAATGGGTAAAGGAGCAGCCTGTGACTTGAGTTCCACCCCGGGAACCTACGTCTGGGAAGAACTGACGACTCCCGCAACGTTTTCTGACCTCCACAGCACACGTAGCACACACAATCAATCAAATGTGATTAAAAATAAAATAAGGGGAGGGCAGAGGAAGCCGGGCTAAGAAATTCAATAGCCAGGCGAGATGGCTCAGTGGTTAAGAGCACTGACCTCTCTTGGAGAGAGGGCCTGAGTTCAAGTCCCAGAACCCGCATCTGGCGGCTCACACGCCCCTGCAATATCGGTTCACAGGGCTCTGACTCCCTCTTCTGGCCTGCGTGAGCACTGCACACGTGTGGCGCATGCGCGCGCCCACTTGCATAAATTAAAAAATAAAACCAGCCGTGGTGCGGTAGCCTGAGACCCTCACCGAGTGCTGGAGAGGCAGAGGCAGGCGGATCTCTGGAGTTCCAGGCCAGCCTGGTTTATTACGCGAGTCCCAAGACAGGGACAGCCAGGGCTAAACTGCGAGACCATATATATATATATGAATCTAAACAACAGCAACAACAACAAAAAACACATCCGAGAGGAAGCCGGTAAAGGTGCGATTTGTCCGAGAATCACCTAAGCTTCCGGGCCGGGCCGCTACCTCTGACTTTAGCCTTCCGTGCCGTAGCCCCATGAAACCGGTAAATTGCCAACTTCCAGGCGGTTGAGCCGAGTGCGCGCTCCCGGGGCGGGGCCTCCGTTCCCGCCCAGCGCAGCCCCGCCCCGCCCCGCCCCGCGGCCCGGCGGATCTGAGAACCGGTTCCGCCTACACTACGGGCGGGATCGTCTAACCCCGGCAGTCCCCGGCCTCGGCGCTCGGCCAGCGAGGTGTGGAGGTTTGCCCTCGACGTCCGCGAGCTCTCGCGGCGAGGCCGCGCTCGCCCTCAGGACTCCTTGGCGGCCCAGACGGTAGGTCGGCGCCGGAGAGCGCGTTCTGCATCTTGATTATCTCGGGCCTTGTAAGGGTCACCTCTTGTGAAAACACCTGGAAAAATCCATCTGCGTCCAGTGCAGCGTGCGGGGACGGCTGGAGGGCTGGAAGCTGGCCACCCCCGCGCCTGGGACTCCCGCAGCCTGCGCGGGGTGGGGTGCAGCCTGAGGTCGTGTCCTGTGTGGCCACTGAAGGCCGGCGGCTCCGCCGAGGACCCCGAGCTGGTTGAAAACCCTCATGGCTGTGTGCCTCACTGGCCCTCAAAACTTTCTTTGCAGGCGTAGCTCAACAATAAACTGAATTGGTAAAACTGAACTTAACTAAATAGCTTTTGTTGACAAGTCGATTGTTATTAATTCAGAATGCAAGGTAAGAATCGTTATCGCGGTTTTGCAGGTGGAAGAGGGTTGGCACCAGAAAGCGTTTCCCTTAGCCTCACACAGAAACATCGGGGGGGTGGGGGGTGGGGGGGTGGCAGAGCCACAAATTAAGGCCTAGCATCGCACTTCCTCAGCTGCATCAGCGTTACAAAACAAACGACTAGTTGCTTTCACGTGACACATAAAAGGAGCGAATAAACCAATGTTCTGTGGACCTGAAGCGTTAAAGTCCTAAGAAGCTTCAGGGTCAGCCCTGCTTCAGGCTCAGCCACCTCTTGGAGGTCAGAGGGGAGCAAACACCCGGAAAGAATGGGCAGGCGATGTTTATGCTCCTGTTCAGTTTCTCACTGCCCTCTGTTGATGACATTCTTTTCAAGGCACTCCAGGTTCCAGCAAAACACCCATGCTTGTCTCCACCCTGCAGTCTGCAGCTCACTGTTGAACCCTTTCCTCTGGGTGCACTCGACTAGCGTTGATCTAGGAAAGGCGGTTGTGGTTCAACTGTCTGTCACTCCTGTCCCCAGACCAACAGCTCTTCCATGAGAGGACACGATCAGAGAAGCGCCCCACGCCAGGGAGACGCTCCATAGCTGAGCTGTCCCTGGGGAAGAGGCACACTTGGATCCCCCCATTCCCCAGTTTCCTGGGAACATGAGTGCAGCAGCAGTTTGTACTGCTAGGGGGCAGCCTTCCTTTAGACCTCAGTGGACTGGGTGGGCTGGGGGTGAGGCAGCGTAGTTTCTTTAGAAAGAGATATTTTTTTTTTGGACAGCTTGGGAGACATTTTGTTCTGTTCTTTTTTCTTTCTTTCTTTTTTGTTTGTTTGTTTGTTTTTTTAAGATTTACTTATTTATTATGTATACAGCATATGTGACTGCAGGCCAGAAGAGGGCACCAGATCTCATTACAGATGGTTGTGAGCCACCATGTGGTTGCTGGGAATTGAACTGAGGACCTCTGGAAGAGCAGCCAGTGCTCTTAACCTCTGAGCCATCTCTCCAGCCCCTTGTTTGTTTTTTTGAGACAGGGTTTCTCTGTGTAGCCTTGGAGCCTGTCCTGGAACTCACTCTGTAGCCCAGGCTGGCCCCGAACTCACAGAGATCCACCTGTCTCTTGAAATATTCTTGAAATATAAGGTATTCTGGCACTTTTGTTGTGGGACCCCTGATGTCTGATATAGCCCTTCTCTAGAAGAAACATCTCTGAGCAGGATGTGGGGGTGCTCTCGGGAGGCAGAGGCAGTTGAAGATGGGAAGTTCAAGGCTTGCCTCCGTGGCACGGAGTTTGAGACCAGCCTGGGCTTGTGAGACTTGCCTGAGGTAGCGTGTGACCCAGAGCGGCCGGGGGTTTGTTCATCTTGCAGTTTCCTTCCAAACAGATACCACCAAGAAAGTCAGATGGCATCCGGAGATTTCTGCTCACCTGGAGAAGGGGTGGAGATCCTGCAGCAAGGTACGGGTAGATGTCTGCGGAGGGCTTCTCCAGGGCTCTTGTCTGGAGCCTTGCCTCCCGGGATGAAAAGGGCTCACCCCCGATTCTGAGGAAGGCAGGATTCAGGAGGCTCCGGAGGACTTGGTTTGAGAAGCGGGTTGGACCAACTGTTCCTGCGGATTCAGTATCCGCTTGTGCGGTAGATGCCGTGTGCCGCGCTGTGTTGGCAACCTGTTGCCAAGGTAAGGGTGGCTGGCCTGTCCCTTAACGGCGTCTTCCCTGCTTGTGTGTTCATGTTTCTCTTGTAGCCCGGGCTGGCCTTGAACTTCGATTCTCCTGCCTCCACCTCTCAGTTCAGAGATTGTACAAGATTTGTTATTTCCTAAAATGACTTTGGATATAATAATCCAAAAAGGAAACATTTCTGTGTTTGGTGGGTGATGGTAAAAGACCTCTTCAGAAAGCCCCTGGGCGAGAGATTTTGGAAAGAGAGGGCCTTGAGTAGATGGGGTAACTGGAGGACACTGACCCCCTGTGGGTTCTCTCCTGCCTGTGCTGATTTATGCCCACATGGGTTGGTTACTCAGCTCTGCTTACAAGGACAGAGTTCTAAGCAGGCAGTTAATTTCTTCCACCTTTTCTCAGCTTTGCTTACGCAACTGGTGAGGTCTCATCCACAGTTGGGATTTGCCAGGTCTGGTTTGCCGCCTCTTCCTCCTTCCAGGAACTTTAATGATTCTGGCCAGGCTCGGTGTTGCATGCCTGTAATCCCAGCATTTAGGTGGGTGAGGCAGGAGGATCACAAATTCAAAGCCAGCCTGGGGCTACATAGAACACCTTAAAAAAAAAAAAAAAAAAAAAAAGATTCTAGTAACTTTGTGTGGATGAAGCATTTTGGTTACTGGTGATCCGTACTAAAGAGTGTCTGTCTGTCTGTCTGTCTGTCTCTCTCTCTCTCTCTCTCTGAGCCAGGAAGCAAACCAAGTCCTCAACAAGCACGTGTTCTACCCTCTACTCCTGCCTTGCCGTTTACCAAGACCTTAACTTTGGCCCGGGGCTGTAGCTGGTGGTAGAACCCTTGCTTAACGTGTGCGAATCCTGGCAGCGTACACCTCACTTTATCAGAAGCTTGTTTCCCCTTGGTTAAGGTCCTTATAGATAAAGTAAATACTGGCTGATCTGAGCGTCATTTCCGGTTTATTTGTGACTGTGTTTTGAGGCAGGGTCTCACAAAGTCACACAGGCTCCTCTGGAAGTCACTTAGCCCAAGCTGGCCTCGAACTCCTAATTCTCCTTCCCCTGCCTCAGTCTCCCTGATGCTGAGATTCCAAGTGTGTGCCATCCAAATACTTGTTTTATGTGTATTTGTGTGAGCGCTGAAGCGTGGTGATCAGAAGACACGATTCAGGGGTCGGTGATCTCATTCCACCGTGTCGTTTCCGGGGAAGGGACTCGGGTCGTCAGGCTTGGTGACAGTGCCCTTAGTACCAGCTAAGCCATCTAAACAGCGGCTGTTTGTTCTTGACCCTGTGTTCTCAGGCTGATTTCAAACTCCTGGGTTTAAAGGACCCTCCTACCTCAGTCTCCCGAGCAGCAGGGCCTACAGATGTATGTCATTGCCCTGGCTTTATTTTCCATTTAAATCAAAGGTATTTAGAGAATTTCCCTACTCAAAGCCAGGGTTGTCTTTTTTTTGTTTGTTTGTTTCAGAAGTAAGTGATGTGATGCCCAATTAAAGCAAGGAGTCCATGTGTTTGCTCTGTCATTTTTTTAGTGTGTGACAAGCAGTTTCCTCCTTGTGCGCTGACTGAAGAGGACCTGATACAGAACCCGTATTTCAGCAAGCTGTTGCTCAGCCTCTCACAGCATCTGGATGAAAGTGGCTTAAGCCTCGCCCTGGCGAAAGAGCAGGCTCAGGTAAGGCCCCTGGAAGAAGGGATGGCCGGAGGGAGGGCAGGGCCCGGAGAGGGGAGAGTCTCAGACGGGGGTTTTGTCTTCTTTGGAGGCGTGGAATGAAGTCCGGTTGCATAAGACAGCATGGCTGAGGTACGAGATCTTACAGCGCGTCATCCAAGAGCTGCTTGTGGACTACTATGTGAAGGCACAGGACACGAATCTGACGTCGGAAGACAAAAAGGTGAGGCCGCAGGAGTGGGGTCGTGTTGGTTACAGCGATGAGAGCCACCAGGCTAGCGGCTGTGGCAGCGAGTGGCTGTTACCCAGGGATTGGGAGGCTGTGGGAAGAGCCGCAGTGCGGGCGTGTGAGGCCAGCCTGGGCAACACGGTGAGACCCTGGAGGAAGAGAGGAAAGGAGGGAAGGAAGAATGGACACAGGGAGAGAGGGGGGAGGGGGGTGGAGGGAGAGAGGAGGGGAGGGGAGGGGGGTGGAGGGAGAGAGAAGGGGAGGGGGTGGAAGAAGAGAGGAGGTGAGGAGTGGAGGGAGAGGGGAGGGGAGGGGGCGGAGGGAGAGGGGAACAGGGTGTAACCTTCACAGGGTGTAACCCTCACTGTGTAGCCCTGGCTGTCCTGGAACTGGCCATGTAGACCAGGCTATCCCCAACCTCACAGCGATCTGCCTACCTCTGCTTCCTGAGTGCTGAGATTAAAGGCCAAGTCAAAAGTTGTTTGTTTTTTGAAACAGGGTTTCTCTGTGTATCCTTGACTGTCCTGGCACTCACTCTGTAGACCAGGCTGGCCTCGAACTCACTTAGATAGGCTGCCTCTGCCTCCTGAGTGCTAGGATTAAAGGCATGTGCCACCGCTGCCCAGCTAAGTCAAAAGTTTTATAGTCATCTTTTTTTCTTTTCTTTTATTGTCTTCTTATTCTCAGTTTCATGAGACCCTTGAACAGCGGCTGCTTGTGACTGAACTCACACAGCTTTCAGGGCCTGGCCAGGAGACGGAGATGCCCCCGCTGCTTGGGCTCGAGAAGGCTGACCTCCTGGGGCTCATGCCACCCTCACAGGTGGGAAGCAGACACTGGAGCACGTCTTTGCAGTTCTCGTATCTCAATTGCCCCTCTGTCTCTCCATCTCTTCCTACAGGGTCTCATGTGTTTAATCAGGTTGGCCTTGAACTTTGGAGCTTCCTGGTTATACCTCCCAAGAGCTGGGCCTGCAGGCATGCACCACCATGCTTGATTTGTGAGGTACTGGGGATCAGACCCAAGGCCTCCTGTGTGCTAGGCCAGCGCTTTACCTTACTTACACACGTCATGTGGTCAGACTCAAGAAAAACCTTACACACAAGAATGGAATATCTGAAAAACTACATCTAGCACTGCATTTTGTTTTGGTTTGAAACTAGAGCTTTTTCTTTTCTTTTTTTTTTTTTAAAGATTTATTTATTTATTATGTATACAGTATTCTGCCTGCATGTGCCCCTGCACGCCAGAAGGGGGCACCAGATCTCACGACAGATGGTTGTGAGCCACCGTGTGGTTGCTGGGAATTGAACTCAGGACCTCTGGAAGAGCAGTCGGTGCTCTTAACCACTGAGCCATCTCTCCAGCCTGAATCTAGAGCATTTTCATGATGCTTGGATGCGCGGGGTGCTCTGTCACTGCCCTCTCGGGTTTAGCAGGTGTTCCTTCACGGCGTCCACGTCTGAGTCTGTGACAGACACTTTTAGACACCCTGTTTGCCCAGCCCTGGCAGTGTTTCTGTCCGTCTCAGGGCTCCAGTTACTCGTTCTGTGCTTGGCAGGGCAGTCCTGTTTGCACCAGGCTGACTCCCGAAGGAGGCAGGCCTCAGGGCCTCCATGGCCACACAGTGTGTGCGTCTTACTGAGATACAGCTTGATGAGGTGCACAAAGTCCCCATTGTCACTTTGCTCTGCCACTCAAGCAGAGACTGCAAGAGTGAAATGTAGTGTTGTTATAAAGTCACGTTGAGGCTGTTATACTCTCCTTGCCCACGCTCTCGTTTTCAAATATATGCGAGTGTTTTGCCTACGCCTCTGCACCACACGTCTGAGGAGGCCAGGAAAGGGTGTTGGATCTCCTCGTGTTGCTTTCTCTACAGCACTTCGGCTGACCTGAGCCTGCTGCGGCTGAGGCCAAGGCCCGGCTGAGCCTTCCAGTCCTGTGTCCTCTGCTGCTGCCTCAGTGTCGGTAGCCAAATGTTTTTTTAACTAAGTCTCTATCAGATGCTGGGGTGAAAACCCGCTAGCTCCGTGAGGCAGAGAAAGCAGCAGGATAAGCCGGCCGGTGGTGGCGCACGCCTTTAATCCCAGCACTCGGGAGGCAGAGGCAGGCGGATCTCTGTGAGTTCGAGGCCAGCCTGGTCTACCAAGTGAGTCCCAGGAAAGGC